ATAGATAGATGAATGACAGAAAATAGATAGATAGATTTTAACATACTGAAGTAGAGAGTGAGATAGATATGAACAACTGATATATATATATATATATATATATATATATATATATATATATATATATATATCGATAGATAGATAGATAGATAGACAGATAGATAGTTACAGCCGTTCATATAAAGATATATATATCGCACCCTTATTTTAACATCCTCCTTGCCCTTTTTGGTATAAACTTTTCTTTTTCCATACTTCTAAGCTTCTTCTTTATGCTATCTCTCCCAATCCGTCTTCTTGCACGTCTTATTGAAGCAAGTATGTTAAGCACTGCTTTCTCCTGACCCTCTTGTCATCATTATGTCATTCGACTATCAAATTTTCTAAACTTTTTTTCCACATCATGTGTCCTAGAAATTTAGACTGCCTCTTTTTTTTATTGTCTTCTTTTTGTTTCCATTTTCTCTAATACTTCCGATTCGCTCAAATGTTCGGTCCTTGGTATTCTCAGCATCCTTCTGTAGAACGACATTACTGTTGATTAAGTTTTTTTCTTCGTCTGTGAGGAGATTGTCCCCCATTCAGGACTATATAGGAGGACCGCTATTACATAATTGTTCAGTACTCATTTTGTTTTCTTTTTTTTACTATTTAAATGTTCCTGTTTCTTTATACTTTGTTTAGCTTCTGGAAGGCATGTTGCGATTTCGGTGTTGCTTTTTCGCCCTTTTAAAATTTTTGAACTTGCTTGATTTTGGCATTTCCTGTTTGTAATTGTCTTCCAATTGATGCTTAGTCCTTTCTTCTAGCTTTCCTTTGCTACCGTCTGTCAGTGTTCCTGTAGCTTTCTTTCTCTATCTGCTATCAACACTGTGTCATCTGCTTATCTAATGTCGTTAAGATTCTAAGCCAATAATGAATTCTGATATCTAAGGTTTAACCTGTTATTTCGGAAACTGAAAATTTCATTTAAATATCTTGGAAAATTTAATCTGAAATCAAAAAAATACGAACTTCAAACAAAATAATCACATATCTAGGAATAAACAAGAAGGATTCAGTCTGAATTGTCAGTCAGGTTGATATGTATTAAATCCATTAGAGAGATACAAATATTCTTGCTTTGGAAGAAAATTTTAGCGTTGAACATTTTGATATTACTCACTCCCTAATTTTAAATCCATGTAAAATTTTCAGGGCGACAAACATGTAATGACAGCAGGCTGTATTATATTTTAAAACGTGTTGAAACGTCTTTCAATCATCTGCCGAGTGGACATTTGAAACATTTAAAAATAAACGGCGCGGTAGAGTATTAGATAAGCGACTCGGATTAAAGAGTCGTAGAGCCGAGTTCCAATTCCATACATTCACTTACTTGAAAATGGTATGAATCCTCTTCTTTTTTTTTTCTATGACAGGACAGACTGGGTTCTAGGAAGAAGACAAATCTGAATTCAAAACCTGCGAATTGTCTTTCTTTTGTCTCTGTATGGTTCACCACAACAATCAAATATGTCAGTTTCCTAGCTTGGACACTCATACGTCGAAAACGACGGGAGAATCGAGTACCAGCCAGTAAGAAAAAAAAACCTATAATCATTTCTGAATGAATGGACAATACCTTTTGTTTGAACACTATATATACACAATGTATCATCCTTAAAATCGCGATTACGAATAAACGGCAATTACCATCCCGGAATGTCTGATTTAAATAGTTTGCACCTGATAAATCAATATTTTTTGTCTAAAATTAACAGACTAGGTGGATTAACTTAAAGATCTATGCTTTGTCTCATCATATCTAATAGACTTTCAATAGAAGATACGTTATGTGATCGTACTGCCTAGGGAAATTGTCGAACATCAAGCAGAGCATGGTGAACAGCAAGGGCAACACGTGGGTAGATATGATTCTAGTAGTAGAACGTGTAAACAATATCCTGATTAGACATGGCGCTCACCAATTTTCTCTTTGAAAACACCAAAACCGAGCAAGAGTACTAATAATTCTACACCATGATGAAATGAGCTTGCTCCTGCTTCCTGTGGTGAGATGTCAGGGAAGAGGTTACTCTCAAACTACACTTCGTACTTGTCAAGAAGTATTAGTTGCATGAAGGCAGAAAGTGGTATCATGATTGAACACAAGTGGTGAGAAAATATACATTGTGGCCGTCCAGAACCTGATCTAAAGATGAAGGAATGTTAAGTTGACTAATGTTGCCAATATGGAAGCACTACCGAAAGGTCACTTGTAAAATGCTATCCACTAGTATGCACTAGCCTGCACGTGTTGCAGTTTTATTTTCCGATGTAATATATATATATATATATATATATATATATATTTATATATATCTGCAATCTTTAGACTCACACATACGTATATATATATATATATATATATATATATATATATATATATATATATATATATATATGTGTGTGTGTGTGTGTGTGTGTGTATGTGTGTGTGTGAGCAATTCTTTGTCCGTCATATTCAATCAAACATTGAAATAAGATTATATAAAATTATATATCAAACCATATAATAATTATCAATGTGCATTTATTTATATATTTCCTGTCGCATCTTTAGTGGGAAGGGAGGTAAATCAACATAAGCTAGTAGCTTTATGCCTGATTAATCCTCTTAGCCGTTGTAATAATCTACATAGATAAAATATTTAACGGCAATTAGGCAAAATTAGATTCCGAGCAAAATTAACCGTTTCATTAATTTGTTCCTTATTTCATGCGTTTCTTATATTTCGGTCAAGCTTGATTTCTTCAAGCCCTTCATGTGAAGCACTCAGATAACTTTTTTCTATTAAGTAATCGCCATGCTTCATCTTGGTCATGAAACTTTCTTGTGGCTGTCTTGTTCTTTCTGCTGTTAATCTTATTCTTTCGAGAGATATTTCCATTTAACGCTTACATTAAATAAAAATGTTTTAACATGAAAAGTTCATGAGCAAAAGACGATTTATATAATACCAGGAGTAATCATTGAGTCAGAGATACCATTTAATGTCTAATCATACTTATTATAAAACCCAGGTTGTGTTTGTGTGTGTGTGTGTGTGTGTGTGTCTGCACATTTATGTATTGGATTGGATTCCCTACATTTTTCAACCGATTTCAACAAAACTTCACAAGACTACGTAAAATTACCTTGCGGTGGTTCTGACAGCGCCAAAAATTAGAAAAACACAAGTGTTTTTGAACAAAATCAGTTTGAAAACACGATTAAGAGGCATCGCGAGAATGAAAGGGGGACAACTCATATCAAGTTATACTTATTATAAAACCCAGGTTGTTTGTGTGTGTGTGTTCGTTTATATATGGGATCGGATTACCTACGTTTTTCAACCGATTTCAACAAAACTTCTTTTTTTTTTTTTGGCAGGCAGTGTTTCTTATTGTCTTGCACACTTTTTTCTTTATTTTTACATTGAGAATGCTTTAAAAATTCCATTTACAAGACAATTGTTTATAATAAAATTCTATTCAATCGATAGACTCATAACAATTGAAAACAATGTTTTTGTTTGAGTTTGGGTTTGACCAATTCGTAAAAAAAACCCTAAAAAAACAAAACAAAAAAAACTAATTAAGGCATGCATGTCCGTCAACCTTAAAAAATAATCTTTTAATCTTTGTCAATTTTATTTTTCAGTCTTCATGATGGTCGATACTTGATCTATCTCTTACTGTTACATCCCCGGGCAACGCCGGGCTCTACTGCTAGTATATATATATATATATATATATATATATATATATATATATATATATATCAGGAACGGACTAATTAAATGGTCCATTTGCTTCTATTTTAGCTATGAATTCTTCATTTCCGCTTTATTGAACCTTAGTACATTGTTTCAAGTCTTATGTTTCATTGCATCTCAGTATTAAAACTTCCTAACACTTTTTGAAGGTACGGATAAAATATATATATATATATATATATATATATATATATATATATATATATATATATGAAGTATAATAGCAATATTAATGGCCAAATAAACAATCTATGTATCTATATTTCTTATATAACTTGTCATATACATATGATTATAGGCTAAAATATAACTTTTGTTCGCAAAAACATATCTACATGAAAATAAATGCGAAAGAATATTTTATCCTGAAACATACACACGTATATATATATATATATATATATATATATATATATTACACAACAAAATACCAAATTACATCATATACGGGGTATATGAGGGGAGTTTGTTATGATATTGTTCATTACCTGTACTATATATATATATATATATATATATATATATATATATATATATATATATATAAAAAATTTATATATATATTTAATTTAATTCATTTTTCCAGCGCCATTATGTTTTCTACACACACACACACACACACATATGTGTATATCATATATCTATCTATCTATCTATCTATCTCTCTCTCTCTCTCTATATATATATATATATATATATAGAGAGAGAGAGAGAGAGAGAAAGAAAGACATAGACGGACACACAGATAGATAGATAGATAGATAGATAGATAGATAGATAGATGAATAGATAGAAAATGTACAGTTGCCGTCAGAAGAAAGACAGCGACATATCTGCGTGCATTTATTTCACATTCACTCTGTTAGGTGAATTAAATATATTGTCACATTTTTCAATTTGGATCTATTTGCTCTTTTCTTTTGACAAACTGAATCTAGCCCCCCCCATATATATATATATATATATATATATATATATATATATATATATATATATATATACGTCCCAATTCACTAAGATGCAATTATATATATATATATATATATATATATATATATATATATATATATAATTATTTTTATAAAATATGATTTTTTAAAATAATTATAAAAATAAATAATCAAACTTTTGCATGGAGCACTGTTTTTTTTAAAATAAATAATTCAAAATTACGAAAAGAACCATGAATTATTTACCTAA